CCTGAACACTGTGCAGTGAACGATCTGTAAAACATTCACATGGACTACATTGCATTCCTTGGAGCTATGCCATGCACAATCTGCAAAACTGTACACATACTTTCTCTTTATAAGAAAATCATCCCCTGAAGAGTAGATGTTATTTTTGGAAGAGTGAACAAATTATAATAAAGCATGAGGGGACATTTTAAAACAAAAGAGACTTTAGTTTATATATCTGCATTAGCCCTGCTATTGGTACTGGTTCTTTCTAAATGGCAATCAGACTCAGGAGATCCAGTAGACTTTAACCTAACACCACATTTTCTTACCTTTTTAGATAGATAAAGGACCACATGCACAGCACCTGGGCCTCATTGGGAGGCCAAACTGCTACCTGAATTCCCAGCCTTTTGGCTTTCTTCAGCCATACAGAACATGAATAGCTGCCACATATATACAGTATAGGTGTGTCATCTTAGCACAGAAAGGCTGCAACCTCAGTTTCCCAATGCTTTACACCATTCTAGTGCAGTCCAAGGCTGTTCCATTCTCACTGTGGGACCAACAATTAGAGGTTTTACAGCAAACAAGGCAGATACTACCTTCCATATATATCTTAATTTGTGATTTCTAATGAGACAGTATTATAAGAGACAGACTCTGAATTTCTTTCAAAGGTAGGTCTTGATTTCAGCCCAGGGCTTGATGTTAACATTTTACTCACAGCCCTGACTAGTGTGGCTCAGTAGGCTGAGCATTGTCCTGCAAACTGAGGGGCCGCTGGTTTGATTCCTAGTCAAGTCACATGCCTGGGTTGCAGCCCAGAACCCTGGTTGGGGTCTTGTAGGAGGCAACCAATCAATGTTTCCCTCATACACTGATGTTTCTCTCTCTCCCTTTCTTCCTCCCTTCCCTCTAAGAATAAATAAAATATTTTTTAAAAACCATTTTAATCACAGTAGTCTGCATGATTCTTTGATGAATAAGAACACAATGCATATAAAACAATGGCCCCATCTGACTTGTGTGGCTCAGTTGTAGAATATTTGGAACAGGAGATATAGGCATACAACATGTATTTTAGAATGACATTTATCAACTTCCTTTAAAATTTTTTCCTGTCCCAATTTTCTTGTCTAAGCATTCTTTAAGAGCAGCAAGAATTTTTAAAACATAGAGTACCTGACTATTTAGTCAGGGGCACTGACCTCTTTTCCCTTAGATTGTCAAATAAAAAAATGACAACAGCCAACACAACAATAGCCATCCAGCGTGATTGAATCAAAATTATACCTTTTTGTCAAATTGGCAAAAAATATAATAAATTGTTGTGTGCCACAGAATTTCAGTAATCATTAGTTTATGCATGCCATGAGATGAAAACAGTTGGTATAAGTAGAATCACAAAGTATGTAGTTTTTTATCTGGCTTTTTAAATTTAGCATTAGGCTTTGAGATTATTCCATGTTGTTGCATGTGCCAGTAATTCATTTGTTTTTATAACTAGGTCATATTCCATTGTATGGCTATTCCATAAAATGTTTATCTGCTTACTAATGGATGGACATTTGGGTTGTTTCCAGTTTTTGCTATTATAGATAAATCTGAACAATAACATGAAAGTCTTTGTATGAACACATTTTCACTTCTCTTGGGTAAATATCTAAGAGGTTCATTGGCAATCTGGGAGGGGGAATGAAGCATTTGGGGGAGGATATAACAGTAGAACATTTTTCTTTTAAAAAGATAGTAAAAACACATATACAAAAATAAAGTCATTGGTTTCCATATTTGTACCATATTACATTCCCAATAGCAATGCATGAGTGTTCCAGTTGCTCTTCAAAAAATTATTTATTTATTTATTTACTTTTAGAGAGAGGGGAAGGGAGAAAGAAAGGAAGAGAAACAGTGATTGGTTGCTTCTCCCACAGTTCCAAACCCACAACCCAGGCATGTTCCCTGAGTGGGGATTGAACTGGTGACCTTTTGCTTTGTGGGTTGATGCCCAACAAACAGAGCCACACCAGTCAGGGAGGTTCCATTTGCTCTTTGTCCTTGCCAGCAATATTTGTTCTTTTTGGTCTTTTTAATTGTAGTCACTTTAGTGAGTATATAGTTGTAACTCATTGTGGTTTTTACTGGCATTTCTCTGATATGATAGTTTCCAATATGGCACCCAAATGATCCTAACCTCTTGGTATTTATGCCTTTGCATAGTCCCATCCCATAATAAATAGGAATGACCTGTGTAACAAATACGCTGTTGTAGAAATGACAACTGAGTGACGTCTGAGGGCAGGTCATAAAAGATACTGTGGTTTCTTTCTTGTTCTCTTAGATCATTTACTCTGGGGGAAAACCTGCTACCATTTCAAGAGGGCACTCAAGCAACACTATGGAAAGGTCTCTGTGGCGAGGAACTGGGGCTACCCACCAACAGTTAGCACTAATTTCCCAGTCATGGAGTGAGCCATTTTTTAAGTGGATCCTCCAGTCCCAGTCAAGTCTTTGGATATAGCCCTAGCTGATGCCTTGACTGCAGTCTCATGAGAGAGACCCTGAGACTAAACCACTCAGCTAAGCCACTCTTAAATTCTGACCCACAGAAAGTGTGTGAAGTAATAAAAGTTTATTGTTGTTCTAAGTTTTGGGGTAATTTGTTACTCAGCAATGGATAACCAATAGAGATTTTGGTACTTGGAAATTGGATACTGCTGTAACAAACATCTAACCTGTGGGAGTGCCTTTGGCATCAGGTAGCAGCTGAAAGATGGAATAACTTTGAGGGGGGTTTTAGTGAAAGCCTATTGACAGAAACTTGATGGCCTTTGAGAAGGCTACCGGCAAGGGCTTGTGGGAAAGTATGGTAGGCAGAATTCTCAAATGGCTCTCAAGATTCCTGCCCCTTAATGTATGTGTTTAGCATAATTGCTCCCCTTGAGTGTGAGTAGAACCTGTTAGTATACTACAACCAGGATTATGTTGCACTCTATGGCAAAAGGGAATTTGCAGATGTAATTAAGGTCTCTCATCATTTGACTTAGAGATATTCAAAAGGAATACTCTAATACTCTAATACTTCTGGCTAGGCCTGGCCTAGTAATACAAGCCCTCCAGATAGACAAACAACAGCATAAGAAATTCTTTTGGCTTTGAGAAAGTGAACTAGCATGTTTTGAGATGACCATTGGAGGTTGCCATGTGGCAAACAGAAGGGGATCAATGCTCTGCAGGCAGCATAGGGAAAGGTGTTCTTGGTCGAAGGAACAACATGGGTAAAACGAGGAGACTTGAAAGTGTAGTCTGTGAGCAGTCCAGTCAGTGGGAACAGTGACAGGAGACACCAGCTCAGAGGTGTCTCATGTTAAGGAGCTGGACTGTCTCACATGGGCAGCAAAGGGCATCATTCAAAACTGGGAAGTGACATCACCATTATCTTTAGAGAGCACTTCCAATCAGCCAGGAACTAAGTTAATGTGAATGTGTTATCTCACTTAATCTGTATTAGTACTAAAGATGTTACTCTCATTATCTCCACTTTACAAAGGAGGAAACTCAATCTTAGAGAAGTTTTACCTTAGGGAAGGAAATAAATAGCTCAGAATTTGAAACTCTAAAGGTATTCTGCTAATCATTTCTAGATCAGCTAGTCCATAGAGAATGAAGATTCTAGCAGTGGTATGAAAGATTGAACAAGGGCAGACAGGGAGGCTGCTAAAGCTGTTACACAGGCTTTGAAGAAAAATGAAAGCACTAAGTAAAATTGCAAGCCACTCTACTATGTTCTCTGTAGTTTCTGGTTGGCTACTGAACCTCTTGGAGCATCCCCATCCTCTGTAAAATGTGGTTGGTAATAGTTTATAACTTACAATGTGACTGTATTATGTGAGAAACTGTTCCTCAATCTTCTAGTACCACATCCAAGATGTAGTTGGCTCTTAATATACGGTAATTTTGAAGGAATTTATTGAATAAATGTAAGGGCAAGTCCACTTCAAGAAACCTTTATTAAGTACTTAATAAAATGGTATTCAAGGTGTGCACACTGGTCGCAATGAACAAAATGAGCAATAACTGAACAATAACTTTATTTTTAAAAAGAGGAGAAGGGAGGGAGAAAGAGAGGGAGAGAAACATCCATGTGTGAGAGATATATCAATCAGCTGCCTCTCACATGCCCCCACCTGGGGACCAGGCCTGCAATCCAGGCCTGTGCTCTGACTGGGAGTCTAACCCGCAACCTTTCAGTTCGCAGGCCCTCACTCAATCCACTGAACTGCACTAGCCAGGGCACCAGTAAATAACTTTAAATGCAGTAACTGCCAGTGAGAAATGGAGGATATGAAGTGTTTTTCTACAGCTTTAATAATCTTCCATACTGAGTCTGTTTTATAGTAATTCGGACACTTGCCAGCAATATTTGTTCTTTGCAGATAAAACCAAGACAGAAGCCAAAAAGAAATGACGGATTACAAACACAAACCTTGCCTCCCCCCAAACACTTCTCTGCCCTTCCATGCATTAAGCAAAACAAACAAATCCCCCAAAAGCCTTCACACAAACCATCAGTGTAGTCGTTATCAGAGGGACTTAGGTGTGGGGGTGGCACGAGAGGGGAATGGGGGGGCGGAAATAAACAGCAATAATAGGAGACAAGACTCCGTGTGCACACACAATACAATACACAGATGATGTATTATAGAATTATACACCTTAAACCTATAAAATATTTTTAACCAACGCAACCCCAATAAATTTAATAAAAAAACACAATAAAACGCAAACCTCTTCCTCTGAAACTAGTTCTGCCCTTCCAAGGCCCCTCCCTCCGCTCTACCCTCTGCGGGTTACACTTTTGCTCCACCCTGACCTCAATGGCGGACTCCCTACTCTTGCATCCCACGGAGGCTTCTTCGCTCCGCAGAGTTCCTCCATCTAGTCCAAATATTTGGCTTAATCACACTTTCCTGACCCCGCCCCCCCAACTCCGACTTCCTCCCGTCCCAGGTTGTGAGTTGCACTCGTAGTTTTTAAGGTTCGCCTCACCGACACAGCGGAAACGCAACACTTCAGGCACCGCCTCCAAGATGGCGGCGCCCAGTGGTTAGAGCTGTGACTTGCCTCTGCTGGGCTTCGAAATAAAGCGTTGCTAGTATTTTCGGACTATGGATCCGCCTGGGTTTACGGCCTCTCTGGTGGTGAGTGCGGGGCGGTACAGTGCGGTGCTCGGAGCGCCGTAATCCAGCACTGGCGCCGGTGGTGCTTCTCTGCACTAGCAGTTTTTTCGGGTGTTGTGTGAGGTGTGGGAGCGAGCGCGGGGATTCTGCGCCCCCGCCCGGTCCCTTGTCAAGGCCACGTCTTTCCTACCAGGACTTCAGAAAGAGTCGGACGGTGTGGGGGTGGCTACTTACCTCATTGTCTTCCGCGCGAAGACAAGTTTTCTCTACTTAAGAGCTTCCGTTGATATAACCACATTGGAAAACTTAGACATTTTATATAGGAACATGTGTAACAAAACAAAACACGTTGACTCGAGTCATTCAGAGCCCTCTTGTCCAAGTATGGTCATTTTGCGGTATCGTTTTCAGTCTTGGAAAATGAAATTCCCATTCATCAGTATATAATTAATCTGCTCCTCCTTCAAAGCATTCTTCTAGCCTTTGGGTATATTGATGCTATGCCATAGGACCAATAAGACTGGTGCTTAATTCCTTAGAAAACAACTAGAATCAACACTTTTTAACACTAAAAGACCAGTTTTTTAGTAAATATTTTAAAACTTTATGGCAGGGGATACTAGATAAGGCAGTGGATCAGACAGAGATTTGCTTGTGTGGGGGAGTGGGCAGAACAGGCAAAACAAATAACTTCTAAAAAGCTTCTCACCAAATGTTAATTATCAAATGCTTGTTGTTGCAGGTGTTAGAGATAAGGTGGTGAGCAAGATAAACCTGCCCACATGGGCCAGGTGGCAGAGAAAGAATAGTGAAATCATTGTTGGGAAAAATGGCATCAAGGCTAGTTTCAGAGCGTTATGGAGAAATGTGGAAGGGGCACCTTAGCCAGACTTGTGGGATGATGGTTTTCAATCTAGATTGTTGAGGCTTGTATAAGCTAGGTTTTAGAGATGCAGGCAAAAAAATATGTTAGCACTTTCAAGGAGTTATTCTGTCTAGCCGTTGAGGTAGCAGTAGTAGTTTTGATAGATAACATTGTTGTGCCAGGAACTGGGGTGAACTTTTTACCTACACCATCTCATTTAATTCTGTCAAACAATTGAAGGCTTGTTTTATTTTTCCAAATGAGGGAACTGAGCTACAGAGTTACCTTATGTAACTTGTCTAGAATCACACAAGTGAGATCCATTTCATGTGTCTATTGGAGATCACATTTCAACCCAGGCAATGTAACATGGGACCCCATGCCCCTAACTGCTCCTTGTGAATTCTAACTCAAGTCAATACCAGTTGCTAAAATCATGAGTGCTCAAGTTAACACAATAACAATGGTTTTAAAATTCATTTAAAGTGTAGTACACATGGTGAAAGTTATACTTGTATTTTTTAAATGTAGTTACAGAGGGTAGAATTTGAGTCAAAGGGTACAAGTTTCAAGGAAGTTAGATTTCATTCCAGCTAAAGACAAATATTTTATTCATTCTGCACACAGTTTATCTGTCATGTGTTCTGCCCACTGGCCACTCTGATTACCCTTGGAGATATGATGGCAAACAAACCAAACTAAAAAAAAAAAAAATACTCTGAAAGAAATGAACTGAGGTAGGATAGTGACAGAATAATATTGCAGAACCTTCTTTAGATGGAGTGATCAAGGAAGGCTCTGAGGAGGTGACATTTAAACTAAGATCTAAAGGATAGGAAGGGCAAGACATTTTGAGGGGATGTGGGGCAAAGTTCAGATCAAGCAGTGCTTCGAGAAAACCGTAGGTGGAAAGAGTAAACTTTAAAGTGTTAAAGTGGTGGCTGAGGCCTAGTGGGTAAGAGTAGTATAGGGTGGATGAAACTGGAGAGGGGCACAAAACCAGCAGAGGTGAGTCTTTGTGGGCTGTGGGAAGGAATTTGGATTTTATTTGAAGCATAATGGAAGCCATTAGAAGGGTTTATTATCAAAGTGGTATACATATAGAGTGGCCATTTTTTAAGGTTGGTAGCATTTTTGAAAAGGGTGAGTACTCCTGAGGAAGTACTGTTTTGCTTACTACTGTGTTAGCAGTACCTTACACTTTGTAGGAACTCAACATAACTTGTGAATGAATGAATGAATGAGTGAATGAATGAAAAGAAAGGTGCAGAGCCTGGCATGTGGTAGACATTTTTTTATTATTAGTCTCAGGTGCACACCCCAGTGATTAGACATTATAGACTGAGTGATCATCCTGATAAATCTCATACCCATTTGATACCATACACAGTTTTTGAAATATTATTGACTATATTCTATATGCTGTACTTTACATCCCCATGACTGTTCTGTAACTACTAAGTTGTATTTCTAAAATCTTTTTTTTTTTTTTTTTACCTATCCCCGCAAACTCATTCCAGTCTGGCAACTGTCAAAATGTTCTTTGTATCTATGAGGCTTTTCCTGTTCTGCTTGTTTGTTTATTTGGAAAAATATGGAATACTTCATGAATTTGTCATCCTTGAGCAGGGGCCATGCTAATTTTCTCTGTATATTTCCAGTTTTAGTATATGTGCTGCCGAAGCAAGCCCTGCAGCAAGCAGACACTGTATTCAAAGAGAGCATTGACTGGTGCATGCTTTTAGGAAGGTAATTTGGGACAAAGTATTAGCAACCTAAAGATGTCCATAACATTTAACTTAGCAAAGACAATAGGAAGCCACTTACATATTAAACAGAAGAGGAATGGTTAGGTAAATGATGGTGGATGCATTTTATGGACTATTCAGTGGCTCTTGGCATTAGTGCTTATGAAGAAGAACATGTGCTATCATAACATGGAAAATGCTTATGAGATTAAAAAAATAAAAAATATAACAGTACATATGTGCATCTGTTCATGGCTAATTAAAATGATTAAAATAGTATTCCTAATTAAAAATAGTATTCCATTCATTTTTTTAAAAGCTGCTTTGAAATTCTCCAAGGTAATACAAAATAATTTGAAAAAATTGTTTATTGAGAGAGAGAGAGAGAGAGAGAGATCAATTTGTTATTCCATTTATTTATGTATTCATGATTGCTTCTTGTATGTGCCCTGACTAGGAATTGAACCTAAAACCTTGGCATGTTGGGATCATGCTCTAACCAACTGAGCTACCTGGCAAGGGAATACAAAATAATTTTGATAATAACATTACAGGCATACCTCAGAGAAACTACCATTTGATTCCAGACCACTGTAATAAAACGAGAATTGCAGTAAAGTGACTCTGGTGGAGGATCTTGCCTTCCATTTAATGTAATAAACAAACAAACAAACAAACAAAACACCTGTGAAGCTCAATAAAGCAAAGCACAGTAAAATGATGTATTCTTATGCATTTTTCTTCTGGTTGTGTTTTAAATACAAAAAAGTACTAAAGGTTTTTTAAAAAATAGCACACCCTTTCTCCCAATCCTTTTTCATCCTGCCTGATTCTTCTCTCCTCTCCCCTTTAGTACCTTACTATTCCATTGACCTTGTAGTCTTTCTACTCACATGGCTTGTTCTGGAATGAAACTGAAAACATCCCTGCTGCAGTTATTTTTTAACCAGTCCTAAGTTGCAATTACATAGTTGCAACTCTTTAATTTGTTGTAGTAGGAAGGACTTTGGCAAATGCGGGGACTGTGCAGTGAAAAATACAGGCCATCCTTTGCATGGTAGTATAGGGCTGTAAAAATGAATGTGGAAATCACACAGAGTGGTCTTGATGAAAAAAATTAATGATAATTTAATGATCTTTAAAAATTCTTGACAGTGTTAAAAATTAAAAACTCAACTGTTGACTGCAAATGTATAGAGAAATGAAAAATAGTCAACTAATATTGAGGACATTGTAATTTAAAACATTGGAACCACTAAGAATGTATTTCTTTGTAATAAAAAAGTATAAAAAATAATTTGAATACTTGTCGTGGAGTCATATAACTTACAATATAGAACAAACATCTTTTTTTTAAAGATTTTATTTATTTATTTTTAGAGAGGGAAGGGAGGGAGATAGAGAGAGAGAAACATCAATGTCCGGTTGCTGGGGGTCATGGCCTGCAACCTAGGCATGTACCCTGACTGGGAATCGAACCTGCGACACTTTGGTTCGCAGCCTGCGCTCAATCCACTGAGCTACACCAGCCAGGGCACAAACATCTTTTTTTATGCCTTAGCAAAGTGTCTACTGCTTTCTAAGTTTGGATCAACTTCCATCATTTTATGCTGTGTGCTTTCAATATTGGAAAGTATTTCCCAGAGTTCCTTTATTTGTGAAGATTTTCACTGACTTAACTTCCTCTGGGAGTCTCCATCCTTTTCATCACAAACACTTTCCTCATTATGTTGATGAGTTTTCCTTCTCTAATTTTTTCTGGCTGCATATCTATGGTCTCAAATGACAATATTCCCTCAGCCAGCTATTTCTACTATAACTCCATTTATACCTGTATGGACTTGAGTATCACTTACATTGTTACCACTTTTCATGTATTTGCTGTACTTTCATCTTTGTTGACCAGTTCCCTCCTTTGATTACTGGATTTTGTAAAATGTTGCTCTGGTACTGTAATTTGAACCATGGTGTCAGAGGACTTGTGTGACTTGTAACTGACATTTATGTGTGTCAGTACTGTGCAAAGTCCAAGGACTGCTTGTATTTTTCTTTTCTTACTTTAGTGAGGTGCTTCTGAAAAAGCTTTTACATTATACTCATGTTGTATCTGCTCACTGGGCCTGCCCCTATGCATGGGTGTGTTGCCAGGGTTTCTTAGATGGAGTGAGTAAACAGAAGAAAAGGATGAAGTTATTGGGCACATTGTTAAGGGAAGTTTTCAATGTCCTTGACCCCAAATCTTTCTTTCTGGAAGGTAGCCCTTTAGTCTTCAATCTGGAGTAAAAGGAAATTAATATCTGATAATGAAGCATTATCTCCAAATCTGTAAGGAATTGGAAATGAGGCTTCATGTTCTCAAGGTTGCCTTTATGAGGGGAACCCCCCCAAAACTGGAATTTATTTATAAAAAAATGTGTATTTGTTCGTACTTCAGTCATCTTCAAAGTACTCTGCATTTGATGCAGTATACCTATGGAGACGTTTTTTTCAACTGGTCAAACCAGTTTTTGAACTTGTCAGTTTTGATGCCTTTTAGTGCCTCTGCCATTTTTTTGTTTCACCTCTTTCATATTAGCAGAATGTTTCCCTTTGAGGACTTTTTCATCCTGGGAGACAAAAATTGAACGGAAAGAGACCAGATTAATTGGGAGGGTGAGGCATGGGGGGGCACGCCATTTTTGGTTAAAAACTGTTGACTACTCAGTGTGGTGTGTGCAGGTGCGCTGGTAAATCACCCATCATGAAATGGGCAAATGTGTTGAGTCTTCAAAAAAATTCACTGGAGCAGAATGCAGCCTCTCACAACAATGCTAGTTGGTACACTGATACAGATGGGTTCCTAGACACTCACCCAGCAGAGTGGTACACTGATACAGATGGGTTCCTAGACACTCACCCAGCAGAGGAAGCCTGTACTGTAAGGGCCCACCCTCCAGAAGATAATTCTGGTTGTTTTTTGGTTCCCCCTTGTATGTGACTTGTTTTATTTTGGCACTTAAGTCAGAGGAAGCAGATCTACCATCTTTGCTTGTTTTTGTGTTTAGCAGGCAGTCACCTTAGACACAGGTATATTCTGAATTTTTATCAGTTAGTGGAGCACATGAGGCACCCTTGGAGACAGACCTAGGACCATAGCTATGATGGAGGAGTTTCTTCTGCATCTCAAGTACTGAGAGATGGGACTACCTTCCTTTATTTTTTCTTTCAGCATAAGAGAAGTACTGGGAAAGTTTCAATATGTGACAATTTAGCTGGAAACCCCTTGTTAATGTGCTTTTGTTATCATTTCCAAACCAAATAGTATGTGTCCAGATATAAGTTTTAAATACTAATTTTTTATGGCACAGACAGTTTGAGTAACATTAATGAAATGTCTAGAGAAAATTTAAAGTTTGGGGAAGATAAAGTTACACCCATAGTTTTTCAACCTCACAAGTCAGGTATCTTTTATCTGTTTAGCCAAACATTTGTTAGCTTTTGCTCTGGTACTTGGGAAAAGTGCCTCAAAGCTACAGTCCCTGCCCTCATGGGGTTTATAGTCAAGTAGGAGCAGACATTAAACAGTAAATAAAATAAAAAATAACTATGTAATTGCAAATGGTGACATAAAGTAACCATTTACTCATCACTTTAATGTGCTTATACAATTTTTTTCATATCTAAAATCCTATCATTACAATTTTGTATTCTGCTTGTTTTTGGTAGTCTTTTAAAAAAATTAACCCATAAACTTAAATCCAAGGGTTATAATGAAGTTTGAACTTCCCTTCCTGTAGGGAAGTAACCCTTCCTATATTCATTAATTCATACATAATTCAAATAGTTGAGTGTCTGCTGTGTACTGGTGCTGGGAACATATTGGTGAACACAATAGGTATGGATTGTACAATCTAGTCATCATCTTTATGAGCATCTTCCTCATCTAGTGGTGAGATGCTCAGTTATAGAACTGAAGTTATCAGTGTGTGGAAACAAGAGGATCTAATTCTAGACTTGGGGATTAGAGAATAGTTGCACAAAGTCCTGGAAATGAGGAAGATCAGATGTGGAGGAAACGAGAGCTCAAAGTGGCAAGAAGGGCAAATGGTGGAGTTGAGAGTGGAGAGGTAGAACTTCCAGAGCCTTAAAAGGATTTTGTTCTTCATCCCAGGGGCTGCTGGAACTTTGGGGGACTCATAAGCTGGAGAGTGGCTAGATGAAATTGAAGTTTGCATTTTACAAAAGTGACTCTGCCATCAGTGTAGAAGTGGCAAGGAGCACTGCAGGACAGGTGAGCGGGGAATGGGGAGAAGAGAAGTATCCTGGGAGTAGGAACAGCACTTCACTTAACAAGGAACTGCTCCATTGTGGAGAACACGGAGACTGTCAAGGAGGGATGTTCCTTGAGGAGCCATGTTAGTATTCTGGGTGGATCTTCTCAGCTATGGTTCAGGCCAGTGGCTGTGATGAGTTTGCATAGTTAAATTGGGTGGTTTCATCCTGTAGTTGAGCAGCAGTGATTTATTTTCTGTTATTGTGCAGCCTTCTTTTGAGAAATAAAGGCTTTATAGCATGTGATCTTGATGTTTTTCAACTCTTAGAGTAATTTCAAAGCACTAATTAGGCACTTCTCCATAGCCCACCAGTATTTTTTACACTTTTTAACTTAAGGTAGAGGAGTGCATGTACACACACACACTCACGTGTGCGCGCACACACACACACACACACACACACACACTCTTTACCCAAGGACTTTTTTTTTTCCATTGCTTTTAAACAGAGAGGGAGGAAAGGTGGGAGGGAGAAAGAGAGAAAGAGGTAGAGAGACACTGATCAGTTGCCTCCCATACCTATTGGACTGGGAATTGAACCCATAAGCTAGATATGTGCCCTGACTGAGAACTGAGCCCACAGCATTTCGGGGGTACAAGATGACGTTCCAACCAACTGAGCCACCTGGCCAGGGTAGTAGAGCTGTGTATTCTATTTGTAGTATGTCAGCGTTGCAATAAATTGTTATTGCTGTAGTAAGGCTTGCTGGTTGCCTGGGTTATATTCTATATCTTTGGATTTTATTTAGTTTTTTTGTTTTTTTTTTTAAGATTTTTACCTGTTTTTTTAGAGAGAGGGAAGGGAAGGAGAAAGAGAGGGAGAGAAACATCAGTGTGTGGTTGCCTCTCATGTGTCCCCTACTGGGGACCTGGCCTGCTACCCAGGCATGTACCCTGAGCGGGAAACAAACTGGTGACACTTTGATTTGCAGGCCCAAGCTTAATCCACTGAGCTATGCTAGCCAGGGTGGATTTTGTTTAGTTCTTAACTTACCATTTTCAATTGAAGCTACCATAAATCTTTAATCATTTGCCTGATAACCTTTTTGATAAATGATCATAAAACAAATTTCTCCAACTAAAAAAAAATAAAAGTTTGGTAAAGTTTCTTGCAATTCCACTGATGTTGGCTTGTATATTTTGTACATAATTATGAACAAAACAACACTGATGTAAAATAATAAGCACTTCTTAAAGTTTTTATTTAAATCTTGAATATGATGCTTTGTGGATATATATATATATATATATATATGTATTCTTATTCTTCTTCCTACTCTGTTACCTGTTTTTTTTTCAGTGTCATGAATTTAAATGACATTTGAGTCACAGAAGTTTAAAATCTGCAGAAGCAATTAGTAACTTCTCATTTATATTTTACTAGATAAATAGATTGAATCTGGTCATTTTATTCTTAGGAGATAAGAATTCAAAGGATTAGAAACTCAATGCGTGCAACGTAGTCAAAGAGATTGAAAGTGTAATTAACTTATTGGTTAAAATTTAGGAATAGATTGCAAGCACTTTCTGAACCCTCCCCTAAGATTAGAGCAAGAATTATAATGAAATGCTGCTTGTTGTAAAGGAATCCAATTATATTAGACATTCTTAGCAGAATTTTAGTTCTCTTTAAGGTTTGAGGAAAAGAAGAGACAGGCAAAATATTTTATTTACATAGTTTTTGTAAAAATCTATTAAAAATAAGTGAGAAAATACTAAAAAAGGTTGACTTTTAAAAATTTTTCTACATTACTTACGAACCTTTTCCCATGAGTTAGGAAAGGTCATCTTTCTATCCAGAGAGAAATCCCACATGATGTGGCATTCTCTATCTACTACGGTGTGTGGTTCTCTACTGGTGCGTTTCTGTTCTTTTGGTGACATCTTTTTAGGTCCTTTGCAGAGTGAGCCTTTTTGGTTTCTGAAGTTCCGTGTGTCTTTCAGGCTTTGATCATGTCAAAAACCATGATCATATAGTATAATAGTATTAATGTTTATAGTAATGAGATTTTCTAGTGTAATTTTAAATAATTTACCCATGTTAGTTAATTATTGGATTTCTCATCAGAGTAGTTTTATTTTTCCATTGAATGCTTGCAGTGGTTTTATTGTGAGTGGTAAGTAGAGCAGAGAGTGTTTGCTAGGTAATAAGCTTCGTACCCCTTGAGCATTTTGTAAATTTAAAGGGTGGAAACAGCTAGTTGATCATTTCTTTCTTTCTTTAATTGTTCAATTACGGTTGTCTCAGTGATGATCATTTTGAATTTTGCTTGTATGGTTGAATAATACTAATTCTTTTTTTCCTACATTTTGGAATGTATAGTTTTTAATGTGTATATTTAACCTCTTGAATAGGTAATAAAGTCATGTGGTTCAAAATTCAAAAGATAGCGGAAGTTGATAATTCAGTTTAAGAATACCTAAATAGGAACCACAGTGAGAGTTTCCTCTTTGTCATTCTTACATCTGTGTACAGTAAACTGGTTTTGATTTCGCATCTTTCTATGATGCTTTAAGACCTTGTGTTTGACCTTTTTTTTTGACACTGTTTGAATTCATATTTTTTCTGAGTAGCTTTACTTTGACTAAGGTGTAACCAGTTTTAAAATATTCTCCATATTCTGCAAGTACTCATGAGGTTTAAACTTTTTAAAGTGCAGCTTTCCAAAGCAATGTAGTGTCTCTTGGGAGGTGACGGTAGTTTGGGCCAGGTTTTAATGTCCTCTAGGAATTTAGCTCTTATTTTTTTCCATTGTTTTCACTTAATGAAAGCATTTATCAAGGGATTTTCAGATACAGAAAATAGGAATCCTTATGTACATGATTCTTAAAATGCAGATCTAGATTCAGAAGGATCATTACCTGTTTAAAAACAGAATTCTCCCCACCCCAAAAATGTCTTACTGCAGATTCACCACTCATTAGTGAAAAAGATAAAAATGCAACATTTGGTCTGACATGGAAATATTAACAAGATAAATTAAGTGAAAAAAAATAAGGTTCAGCTTGGTGAACCTTATACACCTTTTATTTTTAAAGAGGAAAATAAAATGCATAGTCATATTTGCTTATATATGCTCAAAGTAACTTTGGAAGGAAACAGTAAGAAAGCAGTCAAACTGGTTACCTGATTACTGCAAACTGGTTACCTGATTACTGCAAACAAGGAAGGAGACTTGGAACTCTTTACCTTTCTGAATTTGCTTGTTTACTTTTACTTTTTTGAACCATGTGACAGTATTAAAAATGAATTTAAAATTTATTTAAAGATAAATTCAAAATTCACTTTAAAAATTATTTTAAAATTTACACTTTGAAAATATAGCACAATAATGTCGGTTTTCCTATTGTTTAGTTAGCAGGCCTTTTGACTATGCCACATGGTCCATGGACTGAGAGGGATGAGACATGCTTTAAAGATTACCTTCTTATTCTTACCCCAAATGGCAGAGAGCTTATTTTATTGTGACCTGTTTTCCCTTTTCTTATCCCCTCCTTTTTTTTAAAGGCTGGTGGGGTAGCAGGTGTCTCTGTTGACTTGATATTATTTCCTCTGGATACCATTAAAACGAGGCTGCAGAGTCCGCAAGGATTTAATAAGGCTGGTGGTTTTCGTGGAATATATGCTGGCATTCCTTCTGCTGCTATTGGATCCTTTCCTAATGGTAAAAATTTTATTTATATTCTCCCTGTTATAAAGCCAAGATCATGGAATTTATTTTCAGAATGATATGTGTTGTTACCCCATATAGAATTTTTTATGTGTTGTGGCTTTATCTTCTGAATTTGTTTTCTATTCATTAACCCATTACTTTTGAATCAGCTGTAGATCCTATTCCACTGTATTTTTAATAGAAAAAAATATGAGCAATCTTTTAAAAAAGATTTTTATTTATTTACTTTTGGAGAAAGGGGAAGGATGGCAGAAAGAGAGGGAGAGTATCATTGATGTGTGTGATTGGTAGCACCTCGCATGCCCCTGTCCCGGGACCTAGCCCGCAACCCAGGCAAGTGCCCTGACCGGGAATCGAACCGTCAGTCAGTGTTTCAGTTCACAGGCCAGTGCTCAATCCACTGAACCACACCAACCAGGACTGAGTAATCTTTTAAAAATGATTTTGTTACTAAAATTCCCAGTTAGAAGCCTTAATGTGTTATTCTGACATTGATTATGATGTCTTAGAACAGAGTTTCTCAACCATGTCTGCAAATTGGAATTTCTTGGAAAGCTTTAAAAATTACTGATGCTTGAGTCACACATAGACGTTTAATTGGTCTGAGCTTTGTCTGAGTATTGGCGGGGGGTATGAGCTTCCCAGGTGATTCCAATGTGAAGCTGAGTTTAATAACTACTGCCCCAGAGAGTCTTCTGGAGCAGATGAATCTAAGAGGCATTAAATCTTTCTGTCTTTACTAAATTACTTTTAGATGATGAAACAATTTGCACTAATTTCTCCTTCCAGTGTCTTGCTTTTGTTTTGGGTTTGAAGTCACATTATGTGATTAGTGGCCCTCTTATTCTAGAATCAGTATCATCTGTTTTACTTAATTCACTTGTTGGTATATTTTTTTCAGATATTTACCTCACTTTAATTGTTTACTGATGCTTTGAGTGGCATTGAAAAGAAAATGAAAAAATTATGACCATCACACACACAGTTATAGAACCTCTGCTCTAGGAGATTATTAAATCCTATAGTTTGATTTCTTTTTTTCCTGAGATAGTTCATGAGAAATTCTTTTGTGTTAACTTGACATTTACCTGTCCATTTATGTCCGCATGTGAGTGCAGCATTCACGTAAAGATTCATAGCACATGGAGACCAACAGTGTTTTGGTCCCTTTGTTTCCTTCTCTCTTCTTCCTCTGCTCTAGCAGTCCTGAGAATAGCAAACTGTTTTGAGGTTATCCTTGAATTTTCATTTGTCTCCCTACTTTCAGTAATTGATTAATTGATTATAGCATGTTTTCATTGAGCACCCACTCAGTGCCACCAGGTACAGCTCTGTGTGGGAGAGGGGCAGTGTTTCCTGAATTTGACCATGTTGCAATCACTTGATCACCTGATCAGATTTTAAGAAGCACTGATGCCCTTGTCCCACTTCCAGAGATTGTGATTTAATTCTTTTGGGCTATGGCCTGGGAGCTGGAAGTTAAAAAACAAAATCCTCAGGTGATTTAATTTGCAGACAAATTTGGGAACCTTTGAATGAAGGAATTGAAAGGATTATGTTACTAGGTTCCTATCTTTTGGCCATCAGTTTTTATGGTGTCTCCCTCATTGTCCTAAACATCTTTTTGTTCTTACATATAGCACCTAGGAATTACTGTTGGTAGGTGTGGTATTAGTGCAGGTCTGAGGGTACATGGTGCTTCATTCAGCTCACAGGACTGGTTTAGATTCTTTTTTTAAAAAATAGCTTATTTTGTTGTTGTTTTTTTCCCCATTATCATTTATCTGCCCCTCCCATTTAGATTCTTGCCAGCAGGAGTTTACATACAGAATATGGTTTTGAATTTTTTGTGTGTGTGATAAAGTGGCATTTTCACCAGCCTTGTTTCTTCTCCCCCCATCCCCCGTTCACAGCACATCATTGGATTGGAGTTGCTGGAAAATAGTGACAGGGTTTCAGAAATGGTCTTTTTGTTTTTCTGTAAATTTTTTGTGAATTGAAATTTTCTGTGTGGCACTTTTTTTTTTTTTATTGCTGTTCAAGTCCTACTCTGAGTACGATATACCAGTGTAACATTCACAGGCCAGTGCTCAGTCCACTGAGCCACACCAACCAGGACTGAGCAATCTTTTCAAAATGATTTTGAGATTATGTTCTCTTTTTGAGAACATAGTCTGTAGGGGTGAGTAGTTGGGGATGGAGGAAATTGAAAGTTGAAAGAGGAGGCAGGAAGACTTACTCTGTTTTTATAAGGGACTGTAGAAAAACCATAGTTTTTTTTTTCCTTAAGAGTTATAAGAGACTAGTCTATGGCCATACCACCCTGAACACCTAGATCTTGTCTGATCTTGGAAGCTAAGCTGGGTGGGGCCTGGTTAGTACTTGGATGGGAGTAAGAAAAGACTATAGGTGTCAGATAGCCCACCCCCTCTTTGTTATAACTTGCCTAGAGCTTCATTTGGAACCTTATTGTGCCATCACTTCCAATTAGCAAGGGCTTTCTTGGGTGTCACCCAGGAGAGTTTTGGGGGCTTACATTTCTAAAGAACTTTCTTTGTCTTATAAAATTAGCAATAAGGTCTGACCAGGTTGAAGTGGTTAACCATGAGAACCTAGAAACTTTTAGCAGTCTTTCTTCCTTCCCCTAGCAGGTGGGGGTGGGAGGGTGGATTGTGTAGCAGGCAGAACTTAGCTGAAGCAACTGGAGATAGCCCAGCTGTATGGTGAGTGGGCTAACGTTGGAAAATCCTTGTTGGCAACCACAGATATGGGAATAAGGACTTGTGTTAACTACATGAAACTGCTCACACAGGTCCTTACTCTTCTGGAGACTCCCTCCTCGTTGATGTTTGTTTGTTAGCAGCCTGAGGAGTGTTCATAACAACAAAGCCTACCAATTTTAATTGCGGAGAACTGATTTTTCACTGTCAAACTCTTCCTATGTATTTCAGACTTTAGTGTGATGTGTTCAGATGTCTTTCAAAAGATGAATTTGTCTTTCATTGATCTTTTATGCCTTATCTCTTATGGAGGTGATAAACATCTTTTGTTAATAGTAAATGGCAGGTCTTAAAATCCTCTTGTGCAACTTAAATTAGCTCATGGTGGCAGGGTTTTGAGATTTTGGTTTCCAGTTTTAATTGTTGATTGTTTTCTTGATGTAAAGGTGTGTTGATGTAGTAAAAAGTATCCATGGTTATTTTGACAAACAGCAATAAAATATCATTTGATGTTTTATTTAGTTAAGGTATATGTTTGCAGTTTTAACCTGTCTATGCTGATTATTTTACGACTGTATAAGGAAATTTATATCACATTTCTAGAAAGATTTCTAAGAAACATTAAGTGATTTGATGAGTTAGCTGCTAGGCTCCTTTGGTGCAGGAGTAATGTCTTCTGCCTTTTCGTAGGTCCAGGTCGGGCATATCATATGGGCTTGGTAAATTCTGCAAGAGTGAGTGGGGTGGGGAAAGAGTATGTGTTTATTATCTTTATCTGTTATGTCATATTTTATTAACTAGTTTTGTAATTTTTTTGACAAACATATTTCTTAACCTTGTGAAAGGCTGGCTTGTTTAAATTTCAGCTTCTGCCTTTTTTATCACCTATGAATATGTGAAATGGTTCTTGCACGCTGATTCATCTTCGTATCTGATGCCTGTGAAACATATGTTGGCTGCCTCTGCTGGAGAAGTGGTAAGTAACTAGTTGTATATATAAAACACTTCAGAAATACAAATCATGCAAGTCTTTGTTGCACTTTTTAATGATAAAGTATTTTTTAAGTTATGAGAGTTAGAAATCCCAATAAATGTGAATCAATTAGACAAGATAATTAAAAGGCAGGGTCTAGATAGGATGAAAGAAAAATCCAGCTATGTGCTATATGCAAGAGACAGACCTAAAACAATTATACGGAAAGAATAAATTTAAAGAGATGGAAGAGAATACTCATGCAAAATTGGAAAGGCTTTGTATTATGTCAGCATATCTGAGCTAAGACTCCTTTTCCTAGAACTCGCTTTCCAGGATGGTTACAGGTTAGGCTGACCAGGAGACATTTGTACAAGTTGTGTTATATTGGAAGTGAAGCAGATGTTATGTTTATGCTCAGCAGACTGGTGTAGGGTCAGGCATGCTCGTAGTTCATACCCTGCATCACTGCCCTGGGGACTCAGGCAGCTTCTCCAGCTCCCACCGGATCATCTCCTTCAGCTTCTCTACATTCTGAGTCTAGATGTACAGGCACTGTGGTGAAGGGTGTCAGCTTATACCGCAGGTCACCCACATCATCAAGGTTGGTGGGAGATAACGTGAGTTCCTGTTTGTCCTGGCTTTCACCATATCATATCCATCTTTCCTTCCTGATCCCCTGACTTCTGTCCCAGCCCTGGACACAGAAGTTACAGTTCTACATAAGCTGCTTAATCAGCTCCCACAATTACTTTTCACATTCCTATAATAACTTTTTATTCTTACTATTCACAGTAGTTCTACAACTCTGATCAACCCTACTTTATACAGAAATACTAATTGAAAGACTAATAAAATAATGTTAATATCAGACAAAAAAAAGAAAGCAAAAACCAAAGAGAACAATGTGTAAATGATACAGAGAATAATTCTCCTGAGATACATAATGAACCTGAACCTGGACTAAATAATATAGTCTCAAAATATAAAACAAAAATTTCCAGAATTATAAGGAGAAGTGAATAAAAATACAATTTTCATTGTAGATACTCATGATCTATCTGTAAAAGTCTTTAGGACCAGATAGTCATTAAATTAAAAACTAATAGAGGGTCATTTTTTACTAAACTAACATAGAGAAGGGTACCGATAAACATTTCCCCACACCCCTCACTCACTTAACTCTCACTTGGCTTCTGCTCGGTACTAAGGGACATTCTCTGTTAGAATTATTTGTGTGTCTCCATTTAGAGATGTGTGTTCTTTACTGCTGTTATCTGCAGTCTGGTGGTTACGCAGTCTTACTAAGCCTCTCCAGTCTTATTATGGGCAGGAGTGCATAACAAAGTGAAAAGAAAGGGTCTCCTTTTATGAACCTTTTATTATTTTATCAAGTAATATTTTTTTCCCTGTTTTGGGAAGTGGTTGTATATATTAACATTAGGAAATATGGAAAGCAAATCAGTTTTTTTAACATTTACATAAAAAATATATATTGTGATTTTGTTTTCTGTGCACTATGTTTTGTGTAGAAAATTTGGATGAAAATCTACAAGCTTAAGTAATCAAATTTTCTTCATTTGAGAATATAGAGAATGGGGATGATGAAGAGAGAGAGATCCTGACAGAAAAGTAAAAGTAAATACTAATTTTAAGAAGACAATTAAAAATAACTTTATTGAGGTGCAATGTAAAGTGTATAAATCAGTGGTTTTTAATATAATTGCAGAGTCGTGCAACCAACATTGCAGTCAGTTCCAGAACATCTTGATCACCCCAAAAGGAAACCCTGTACTCCTGAACAGTTACTCTCCTTTTCCCCGATTCCCAGCCCTGGGCAACCAGTCAACTGCTTTTTGTCTTTCTGGACTTACCTATTTAGGGCATTTTATATTAATGGAATCCTGCAGTATTCACAAGTTTTCTGTTTTTTCCATAGCTTCACCAACACTTATTATTTCTTTTCTTTCTGTTAGTAGCTGTGAAATGGATTTCTTGACTAAGAAATCAGTTGTATGGGTCCTTGAAGACAATGTTGAAAGAAATTAGCATGAAAGACATTAAAATCACTGTAGTGCTTTAAATAAACTTCTTGTTTGCCATTGGTTTAAAAATGATTTTTCAGAATCCAAGTTAACCCTGGATTGAAAATAATTGCCTTTGTAATTAAGTGTTGTTATATTAATTTTTTAATAACAAAGAACATAGAGTAATAGTTCCTTTTATGAACTAGAAACCCCTTTAGGAATCTAATGAAAACCCTATGTCTATTTCTTCAGTAAAATATGGACATTTACATAAAATTTCTTGGGGATTTTAATTCTTTATATTCTTAACTCAATATAAGAACTCCAGTGCTTCAATTCTACCTGAAAATTAGCTTAACCTGCATTAGAAAGCAATTTATACTTAATATAAAAAATCTTTTGACCTGTTATCCTTGATTTAGATTTTTTTGGTGATATTCTGAAATTAGAATCTTATTGCATGCAGTTATTTTTGAGTATATGTACTAAGGAATTACAATTCATGGATGAACATTTCATGTGTCTCAGGTTGTGCAAATTCTGTGTGATAGCTTTTGCCTCTATTTTAGAAATGCGTGTTGCTTTTGGTTAAATGAGGTTAAATATATTCTCAAATTCAGTATGTGGCTTACATTTTCTAATATGTTGCTGAAATCAATCAAGAAAAAGAACTTGGCTACTTATGTCCTTTCACATAGAACCATCTTGTGTGAAAGCTGGTGTGAGGTGTTCAAAGATAGGCTTTCTTCAGTTTGTAAACTTCCTCTTCGAATTACAAAATAAAGTATTTAAACAGACATGATGAGGTAGGGCAAATGAGAGCTGTTAGATTACTCATGTTAATGATACATCTTTTCATTTGTAGAAAATTCTGTATATTCTGTATTTTAATATCTGTAACTGACATTTTAAAAATACAGAAGCCCTTGTAATGTAGTATTCTTTGTGTGAACTGTTGCACATAGGTGGCGCTGTAGGTAAATGTCAGTTAGGAAACAAGTATGTAAGAGTGGAAATATATGATTCTAGGACATTCTTACCTTTATTGGGTTTTTTAGGGTTTCTATAGTCCCTTAGGTCGTAAGACATGATGTAATGTCTGTTTTAGTTTTCATGATGTCTGGAGGAATTTTATTTATCAGCAGTGGGTACATGGATTGATGTCACAGATAAAACAACTCTTGATGTGGACTTTCAATCGATTTTATATATTTATTCATTATTATTATTTTTAGAGAGGGGGGAGGGAGGGAAAAAGAGAGGGAGAGAAACATCGACGTGTGAGAGGTATGTTGACTGGTTGACTCTCACATGCCCCCAGGTGAGGACCTGGCCTGCAACCCAGGCATGTACCCTGACCAGGAATCAAACCAATGACCTTTTGGTTTTGCAGGACAGCACTCAATCCACTGAGTCGCACCAGCCAGGGTGAGGACTTCTCATATGTTTTAAATGCAATTATGGTTTAGAAAAAACAAACAAACAAACAAACAAACAAACAAATTCAAGTATGGATTAGTATACTAAAAACCATTGTCAAGTGTAGGAAGTTTGTAGAAATGTTGGTTCTGATGCTTCAATTGTCTTTGAATTTTCTTTAAAAATTTCCCAAAGCCATTCAATACCAGTTTTCTCAGCAAATGCTTAAGAAATGTGTGTACTATTTTAGTAGTACATACTAAATGCCCTAAATAGGTAAATAACTGTTTTAATAACTTATTTCAGTTTCATAGAGCATAAGCTTTTGGTTTCAGATTCATACAAGCATGGTTGCTAAAAGCAAGAGAAAGAAATGGGTGAATTTAGGAGAAACACATTTTTATAGGTAAAATAAAATGGAGTAGAAAACAAAAACACATATGGCTGTCAATAGTCAGTTATAGAGACCTAAAAAAAAATAATAGTTGAGTCATTGCCGCATAAACCATGTACTTTGGTATAAGATTGTTATGTTACAGATTTCTTAGAAACAATGCCTTAAGAATGTGTCCACAATTACTTTATTGTAGCAACTGTAAATGTATGAAAGAAACTTAGAAGCAGAACCCTACCATAATAATCATTCCCTGTAGCAGCATCTTGATTAAAATGTGATGACCAATCAATAAAACTGTAATTACAACCTTCTACCTGATGTTTGTAATTAGGAATACAGAAAAATGGATCAAATAAGATTTAATATGTAACAACAGTAAGAAGAGTCCTGTTTGTACCATTTTTATGAAGATGTTTGCCGTACCAAATCTCTAAATCCTTACCTCAATTATTTTACAGCTCAGTTTTCATCAGATACGATAAAGCCCTGTGAGAAGTAGAATTTGTAATTAGATCAGATGTTTGGGGTATGTTTACTTTAACACAACAGATGCTATAAAATTACAGTGGTAGTGATTTTTTTTTAAGGTTTTAAGGTTTGACTTTTCCTGGGTCTTATCCAACTTTTGGTCTTAGTTCATGTTGTTTTGAGAAATGAAAGAACATTGACATTTCTTCACAGCCAAAAGCAAGCCACTGTGAATTTACTCTGCATGGATGACATGTGTGGATGCCCTCACATACATAGATGCTGGTAGATGATTCCTTCCAACCCCATTCTAATTCATGTACGAGAAAGCTAGGAAGTAAATTATTGGGTTGGCCAAAAGTCTGCATATTTTTTTTTCTGTAAAATAAAAGACACATTTTTCATGTTCATCAATAACTTTATTGATTTGGCTATTTTGAGTATGTCGGTTATTTTTCACGTGGTAGAATGTTGATTGTTCTCAGTTAATGTCTTTATTTTGTTGCGCTCAGCTTCAGCTTGTCTGCCTGACTGTGGAGCATCGTCCAGCGAAAAATCTCCAGCATGAGACTCCGAAAACCACTTTTGATATGTTCGATGAGTCACAGCACCTTCTCAGTACACTGCACAAATCTTTCTTTGTGTTTCAGTTGTGTTTTACCTTTCTTTATATAATAAAGTATAGTATGCCA